ACTCCTCCTTCCCCTCCCCTTCCACTCCTCCTTCCCCCTCCCCTTCCACTCTCCTTCCCCTCCCCCTTCCACTCCTCCTTCCCCTTCCCTCCCATTCCATCTCCTTCCCTCCCATTCATCTCCTTCCCTCCCCTTCATCTCCCATCTTCCTATGTCGCTCACCTGCCATGATCGCTGCTTCACCGTAAAAGGCCCCGGAAATAGATGGAGGGTTCATATGGTCAGTGAGGGGATGTGGGTTACCAAAGCTGGCCGCACGACTGACTCGGAGTCGGCGTCGGCCCACTGCGGCGGCGGTGCCACGGTGAGAGAGACTCTCCGCCTACTACTACGTGCCGCCGCAGTGCACGGTGACGGTCACCCGGTACCATGCGGTACCGTACCGTACCGTACCGTACCGCCGTCACTATTCCGGCGGCCCGGAGTCCTGCCACTGAGTCCGGCTCGGACCGGCATCGGTACGGGCCGGCGGTACGGTCCGACCGTCGGCTGCTGAGTGACAGGCAGTGTGACAGTCCCCGGGGCCTGGGTTCAAGTTCACCGGACTCGCCGGGCGGCGCCGGGCCGGCGGCGCCTGCACGGCCCGGCGGCCCCAACGGTCCGCCGGACGGTCACCGTGACCGTCACGCCGGGCCGGGGGCCGCCCGGAGTCCTGACCGTACTTGCGGCGGGCCCGGGCCCGGCACTGCCGCCCGGCCCGCGGGGCCCGGCGCGGCGTGCCACACTCGGAGTGTCCGTACGGTCGGATCCGATCCGGCGCCGGGCCTGGCGGCCGCAGTAGTATGCAGGCTGACGGTCACGCCACTGCCGTCAGGTGCCAAGTGACTCGTTCTCAAGTTGAGCCTGCCAGTGTGACGGGGAGTCAGTCCGGGACTTTCAAGTCAGAAGGCCCCGGGCCGGCCCGGCAATCCGTGGCATCATGCCATGATGCCCGGCCATCGGCACTTGGCTGAGCCGGCGTCACCCGGTGGCCCTCCGACAGTGCTGTCACATCCCGGGCCGCAGTCATCAGTGTACAGACTTTTACCGTAGTACTCTTGAAGGCTCAGCCAATGAGACGCAAGGCACTGCAGAATTCATCACTTACTCAAAGTTAAGTTGAAAATCAGTACGCCTCAATTATTATTATGTGCGTTTACTCAATTGTTAAAAAACGGCCGCGAGCCTTCGGAGACTCGCCTACTGGACGACCGTCCGGTCTGAAAGTTCAAGTTAGGAGGCTATTAGGCACCCCAAAATAGCCTCCTAATAAACTCGCCTACTAGCGGCTGCTAGGGCCTACTTAAATAAGTTAAGTTTACGGTAGTAGCCCCCGGCATTGAAACTTGAAGCAACTGACTAGTCAACAGTAGGCGCTATGCTAAAAAAAGGTGTTCTTTACTCAAACTTGGTGCCCTGGTAGAAGTTGATACCCGAAAGGATGTGTGAACGCAGCGATTGCTTCTCCAGGAGTAACGTGACCGCTGAATACTCTCGGAAAGGGCTGTAATCGCTCCATTCGGCATTCAGGTTCTGCCAAAAAAAAAAATGGTCAACCCGCAAGCTGTCACGTTACTCCTGGAAAAATCAATCGCTGCCTTCTCACATCCTTTCGGCGTCCTCGCTTTACTACCCTGCCTCGTGTATCCTCGCCGCCGCTTCAAGTTGCTGGCCTGTTACCCCAAGGGCATCCTCGACATGGTCCGGCCCTCTGCCTCCCCCGCCTCCAAGGCCGTCGCCCTCGCCTTCGCCCAAGCGGTACCTCCCTCCCTCCCTCCCTCTCTGCCTTGCTCTCTCCCTCCTTCTCCTCCTCCTGCCTGACTCCTGTCTGCCCCAGGTTTCCCGAGCCGTCCCTGCCTCCCTCAGCCACCTCTTCATCCCCCGCAAGGGCCGCCTCTCCATGTACGACGGCCTCCGCGACTGCATCCCGGCCGCCGTCCGCTGCCAGAGCCAAGTCATGGGAGGGCACGGGGTGAGCGAGGTGGAGTTCAACAAGGTCCTCGAGCACAACGGCTTCCCCAAGATCCGCGACCGCTGCATCCTCCCCGATGACGTGGAGGCGACGGACTTCTCGAGGAGCAGCAGCGCGCGCTACTTCTTCTCCAACCGCCGCTGGATCAACCCCGACGACCCCCACGAGCTCCAGGAGCTCCGGCAGGCCTGGCTCAAGCTCCGCCAGCTCGCGTGGAGGCTCGGGGCGGACGTGAGCCTGGAGGCGCTGGAGCAGTGCTGCCGGGAGAGGTACGGTGTGTGGGCGGAGATGACAACCAACTGGAGCAAGGCACCGCGTCGGGTGCGCCAGAAGGGGCGACGCAGCAGGCTGCAGGTCCCAGCCGACGGGTCGGGAGGCTCCGAGACTGACCGATACTCGTCGCCGCATGATGCGACGCCATACTCGCCGACATGGTCCGAGATCGAGATGGACATGCCGGGAGAGGGTCCGGCGTGGGTTGATGGCGTGGAGCTGCCTGAGCGCTCAGAGCGAGGGACATACGGCAGGAGCCAAGGAGAGGAGCTGAGCTTGGAGGCTGATCGCGCAGACCAAGGATGGCTTGACGTCGGAGGGGTCGGGGGATGGCTGGAGGGAGCGGAGGTGATGATACACGGAGAGGAAGAGGAGGACACAGCTGGGCGTTGTAGGCAAGACCGGTGGGCGAGTTGGCAAGGAGACTTTGCGGGCCAGGAGGAGGAGCAGGAGGAGACGTGGGGGCTTTGCATCTCGCAGATGCGGGAGGAGGACTCAGGGTGGGAGAAGATCATAGGCGGGAGTGAGGAGGAGGAGATGGGGTGGAGATGACGGATGAGACCAAGAGGGCATGAGCGAGGAAGGGCGGGGGGGAGCAGGAAGGACGCACGGGCGCACAGCGCACTGGAGGTATTGGGTGTGAGTCTGGTCTATTTTTTAAGTTGAAATAAAAAGTCTGCGAACAACTCTCAGGGCAGGTCTGAAGAATGTCGAACGAGCTCATAAGAGAAGGCATCAGCATCGTTGCGGCCGCAAAGCTCACAGTGAGAGAGACTTCAGTACACTGACAAGGGATGGCTGGGGTAGGGACGGTAAAACGGCTGGAGTAGGAACAGCTGGGGTAGGGACGGTAAAACGGCTAGAGTAGGAACAGCTGGGGTAGGGACGGTAAAACGGCTGGAGTAGGAACAGCTGGGGTAGAGTAGGGACAGCTGGAGTAGGGACAGCTGGGGTAGGGACGGCTCTGATCCGAGGCGGCTGCTGCCGAGAGTTTCAAGCTACTCTGCCTCGGCTGCGCGACGAGAACGTGAGCTTGAGCTACGTCAAGTGCGACGGTGACATGTACTCGTCGACGTTCGAGTGCGTTCAGTTCTTGTATTCTAGGCTGGAGTGCGGGGGCTACATCTACTTCGATGACTACCATGAGTTTGGGGAGTGTCGACGAGCCGTGAAGGACTACTTGACGCAGACAAACCAGCAGGACGTGGCGGAGGACATGTTCTCTGTGCGTCAAGGCTTCGGGCTCGGCGTGTACGACAGGACGCTGACAAAAGCCAAGTACGAGGCGGTGTTTTGGCGGAAGGAGTGCGAGCGCAAGGAAGCGGGTAGGAGGAGGGAAGGGAGGAGGAGGCAGGTGTCAGCGGAGGTGGGCGAGCGGTCGGGCAAAGAGAGACAGAGATCGAGTCGCGGAAGAGTGCCAGAGATCAGCACTGTGAATGCAGGTGAAGGAAGCAAGCGCCTTAGGCGCGAGTCGTAGTGACTTCGCAGGCAAACTTGGAAGAATCGTTCTCGTGTTACTGATGGTCATTGGGGATTCAAACTAGTGAGAGTGAGTGCTGGAAAAACTCCACTCTCAAGCTCACAGTCCCATCACTCAGTCATGTGTATGAGGAAGGAAGAGGTGGAGGGGATTGGACGAGGACGAGAACGAGGAGCCTGGAGGGAGAGGGAGTCAGTATGAGGAGGAAGAGCAGCTGACGGCTGGAGGGAGAACAAGCAAAGATCCTTGGATAGCTGCTTGTTCAATTTTCTCCTCATGCCTACCACTACCTTCACGGCTTTCTTGCTCCAGATTCTCTGTCCACTTGAGATTTTCTCCTCGGAATCACTCAAAATTTGGCTGAACATCTCAGTTCTCCTTCACATTGTGAACGAGACGAAGCTGATCATCTGCTCGTCCTGTCTGACTTCAACCATCATGTTGGCTCGTCGTACCCGCTTCCTCCCATGCATGCACTACCGCAGTCAACAAGTTCCCGCCATACGCGGTGCACGCTCTCTCGCAGATTCCTAAAACAGAACTCTCCGATTCAAGTTGCTGTTCAGACCAGGGGTGGGGTACAGGGGTGACCTCACTGAGGGGTATTTTTTCTGGGTAAATAAGGGGTATGACTGTACTACTGAAGACCAGACACCGGTGGTACTCGATCTACCCCACCCCCTCGATCGGAGTAGTGAGCCCTGGAGTCTTCACATGCATCAAGCGGCTGGTGTTCTGGGAGGGGGTGGGGGTGGTTCTCCGGGTGTGCTGAGGGACGCAGTGCCGTAAGGTAGGGTAGTATTGAGAGTATGTAGGGGTACATGTATGGGGGAATTCAGGGGTACCGTGGGTTTCTAGCAGGGTGGGGGTGGGGGCCGTTGTCGGTGTAGAGGGGAATGAAATGGATGAGGCGAAGGGGAGAGAGGAAGGAGGGAGGAGGAGAGGAGACGGCAGAGGAGAGGAGGAGAGGCGAGACTAGGGCAGAGAGAACTTGTTTGTAGGGACTCGGCGTACAGAAGGTGAGGAATACCGGAGAGACAGGACTGTGTGTGCTGGGTGAATAGAAGGGTTTTACACTCTTACGTCTTGTTCAAGCTTGCGGGGGTGCGGTGCTACAAATTTGTGAGAAGGGAGGGTCGGAGGAGACAACAAGATCCTCGTGATTGAAATAGACGGACATAAGGAGATATTTGCTGTTGTCTCGCTATCTTCCTGCTGCATTGCGATCATTCCTCGGAACTGCAGGGACTGGGACGTTGGCGACTCTATCGTGAGCAAGTAGCTGTATGGCCATGCTCCGCATCTTCCTTCTTCTGTTTCTGTGTATCTTACCTGCTGCCCTGTCCTGCGATGACCAGTCAATCAACGAGCTCAAGGACATCCTGTTTAATGGCGACGGGGGGATCGGAGCGGTGTGTGGAGTGTCCGCTCTGCCGTGCAGCATTGACAAGACGAAGCGATGCTCGGCCAAGTGCCAAGGGAAGTACAGCAACCTGACCAAGCTCTGCGTTGACTGCTTCTATTCTCCTGTTTCCAACGATCTTTGCAAGAAGGACCTCCTCAGTACTCTGTTCATGTGCCTGGACGGGCTCAACTTAGAGTGTAACGGGGGTTTGTCGTACCCTACACAGAGCATCGCTGTGCCGAGCAAGAGCGACAAGTCGTCAGTCGAGCTGCTCAACTACATAGTCTTGCCCTGGGTGAACCTTGCTCTTGTGGTCTTGGTTTGGCTGTATGTGATCAGGAAAACGACCAACAGCAGAGGGTCCAGGTCGAGGCAAGACTGGAAAAGGAAGAAGAATGATTCGGCAAACAGCGATGAATCCGACGAAGAGAACTTGAGCACATCGAGGAATCAACGTAACGATGTGACTGGAGAAATACAGGAAGAGCAGGGAGATACTCCAGCAGCACCCAACATGCAAATCTACGTGGACAAGATGAAATCGTCCAAGTCGCTCTCCTCATTCAGGAAGTCAGACAACGACAGTGGAAGTGAGCTGGGTGAGACGCGGACGTCAGCAAGAGCGAAGAATGAGATCGGGGCCGCGAGATCGGAGGAGAACAACGGGAACAGCTTCGGTCTCCCCTTCTTGAAACGAGCCTTCAAACAAGACGGCTCAGAGGACAAGCGAGACGTCGAAGCATCTTTCAGCTTCAACACAAATCAAGATCCGTCACCTTCTACTGCCTCGGGCATGAGGTGCTCTGACGCGTTTGATGTCCGTTGCTCGTTGACGAGACGGTTACAGACCTCCGGAGGCGATTCATGACGTCCGACCCTCGTCCTCCCTCCTCAACAGCATCGAGCCAGCGACGCCTGCCATGACCACACCGGGAGGCAGCGTGTTTGCCAAGGTACTTGAACCTCTGCCAGCAGCCTTGCCCATGACCTCCCCCGCAGATGATGTCCAACATGTCGATGGAGCAGCGGTCACAGTTCAGTGCCATGATGAACATGTCACAGGAACAGGTAAGCCCTTGCTATCGCTCTCCCTTCCTCCCTGCAGGGCTTGTGCCCTGCAGTCCCCGTCCCCTTCCCCTCTACTCCTTCATTCTCTCCCTCTGTCTTTCCCATGCGCTTCTGACCACTTCAATTCAGATGTCGGTACTGCCGGAGAGCATGCGCAAGCAGGTCAGCATGCTGCAGAACTTTAACAAGCAGCCTGCGGCGGCCCAGTCGGGAGGGCCGGAGGAGAGCACGCTAATGTCCCCCAGAGACATCTTTCCCAAAGTCGGGCCCTCCCCAGGTTGACCAGCACAAGGCTCAGTGAGGGCTGGGAGGCATGTCAGGCCCCGGGCCGGGCCGGTCTCGGACACTCAGTGACGTGTAACGGTCTTCAGAGGCTGTCACGTGAGGCTGTTGGCGCCTGAGCAAGAGACAATGACGTGCGGAGGTCGGGGGTCACTACAAGATCTTGTCAAGTCAAGTTGATGTGCCGACGGTCAGTGAAGCTGAGAGAGCAGCAGCTTCAGTAACTTCATCTCTAAAACTTCAAAGCTTGAAACCTCATTCCTGCATTCACACGCTGTCAAGCTCGCGGTCACGTGAAAGCTCTCTCGTGGGACCTTGACTATGTTGAGATCTCTCAAGAGATGTGTCCAAAGAGAAACAGGCTGATCTACTATCACCATCCCCACCACCACTGCGACTTCTGAAGTGCTACTGTCAGCACCCCTTGCAAGCTCGCTGATGCTTGCTGCCTTGCTGTGCCTGAGCATGTAGCATGTGATCGTCGCTAGAACGACGACAGCTAAGAGCAGGGAGCAGGGAGCAGGGAGCAGGGAGCAGATCAGAGAAAGGAAGAGGAGAGAAGGGAGAGATAAGAGAAGAAAACTGTTGCATGACGACATGAGGACAATGGAAAGGCAAAAACTGATGAGAAAGACGAAGAATCCTGAAAGGTTGACAAGATCAACAAGGGAGTATGAAGAAGAACAAGCAAGATGCGATGATGAGAATGAAAGACTTGATAACAAGCAAGGATTGGGATTCTCGAGAGCGAAAGACAGGAGGCATTGTCATCTTTGGCAATTTGACAAGAGAGGAGATCACAACATGTGTTGATCATGCTTCTCATCTGCTTTTCAGCAGACAAATCGAATGTTTCAAATGCTTCATGAAGACAAAAAATAATTTCTGAAAAACTTGCAGCGTGTCTGAAAATGTTCAAAAACCAACAGCACCAAACTGAGTCTTTAAAGAAACGATCGATGAAGCAGAAAGTTCAACTGTTCCAAGACAACTAAAAACGAACATCTCAAAAAACCTTCTGACTTCATTGCAGCCGTTGAGCTCCCATCACTTGCTTCACTATCTTCTCACGCTCCCAGCTCCCGGTGCTGATCTATGGCACTTGTCCACGACTCGATCTCTGTCTCTCTTTGCCCGACCGCTCGCCCACCTCCGCTGACACCTGCCTCCTCCTCCCTTCCCTCCTCCTACCCGCTTCCTTGCGCTCGCACTCCTTCCGCCAAAACACCGCCTCGTACTTGGCTTTTGTCAGCGTCCTGTCGTACACGCCGAGCCCGAAGCCTTGACGCACAGAGAACATGTCCTCCGCCACGTCCTGCTGGTTTGTCTGCGTCAAGTAGTCCTTCACGGCTCGTTGACACTCCCCAAACTCATGGTAGTCATCGAAGTAGATGTAGCCCCCGCACTCCAGCCTAGGATACAAGAACTGAACGCACTCGAACGTCGACGAGTACATGTCACCGTCGCACTTGACGTAGCTCAAGCTCACGTTCTCGTCGCGCAGCCGAGGCAGAGTAGCTTGAAACTCTCCCTTGAGCACCTTGGCGGTACCGCCGTTGAGCCTGGGCCACTCGAACCCCTCCCGCGTCCAGTTCCTCTCCCACCCCTCCCACTCCTTGACGAAGCGAGCGAAGGGCACGTAGAACTCTCCTCCTCGAAACTGCGAAGGCTCCTTGCTGAAGCTCGTCTTCGAGGGAGTTGGCAGCCCCTGCCAGCTGTCCGCCAGGTAAAAGTCCCGACGGTCTCCCACGCAGCTTAAGAGCGACTGGATCATGCACGCGCCTCCTCCGTTGGCGACCCCTGCCTCGATGAAATCGCCCCGCAGCCCCCGCAGCAGGATCTGCTTTGCGAGCCACAAGGTAGCGAACCTCCTCTCGATCTTCATCATCGACTCGAACTGATCGATCTGCGACCAAACCTTCTGGAAGCACGTCTCCACTCGCTCAGCTGACAAACCTGCTGCTGAGCTTGGCACGGCAGGTAGGGGGGTCGAGGAGGATGGAACCAGGCGCCCTTCCTTGAGACTCATCAGATCTCTCACCAGTTCCTTGCTCTGATTTAGGGTCGCCTCCTGCTCTCTCGCTACTCTCTGCGCTGCTCGCCTCCATGCTCCCACCACCTGCTCGTACTCGCTTGTTCTTGCTTGCAGGCACTTGGCCGTTGCCTCCTCCATGAGGCGCTGGAAGCGAGCCTGGCTGTCATGGTGGAGGAAGGTGAAGCATAGGAGGCAGACGAACACCAGCGCGCTCAGCGACCATGGCAGGTAGTCGGCCGGTCTCAGCATGGCACTCGATTTAAAAAGCTTGCTTCCCTGCGAGATACCCGGTGACCATTAAACGTTTTAGTCAACTGTAAGTTTAGTCAACTTGTGACTCTTTCACTCGGAGTCACTCAACGGTAGTACCGGGCCGGGCCCGCCGGCGGCCGCCGGGCCCGCCGGCTCCTGGCGACTATCAAATCAATAACTACTATTATACCAAGAAGGTTTTAATATTTTAAAAATCTATTTTTAGATGCGATTGTTCCGCCGTACCCCAACGGTCCCACCCCCCACCCCCCCATATTAGTACTCTTGCCCTTTAGGGTTGCTATCAAAATGATTTTAATAATATTTCTATAATTCTATTAGGTTGAAGTACCCTACCCACAAAGCTTCAATGTCACACCCTACCCTGTAGATTCAGTTATAATACCGGGTCCTGTAATTTAACAGAGGGATGACCCACCCATATCATTTCCAAAGAACCCCATTATTTTATAACTGTCAGCAAATTGACCTTTACATCAGTGTTTGCCGTACTGAGTTGTGCGGAGGTTAGTACCAAGTTTACAACGAAAGCATGTCCTTCTTGTACTATCTGTTGTTATGAGCTGTTGTTCTTTGCACTGACTATCAGTACGATGAGGAGACCAGGGATGGGATGAAAGGGTAGAGAGAGGGATTGATGAGCGAGTGTGAGTGTTTGGAGCAGGGAGGTGTAGGCTCACAGGGTGGTGAGATGTGCGGAGACGAAGTGAAACGAGCAGAGCTCATTTGCCATGACTGCCATCTTCCCACTCACTCTGATCGTTTGTTTGTTTGACGAGAATGCGATGTTGACATGGAACTGCAGGTAGAAGGAAATGAGACAGAACTAAATCGAAGGAAAGAACATGGATCGATTTTTGGACTCCAACATCGCGCAAGTGAGATTGCTCTGCCCCCTCTTGCTGCATGCCTCACCTTTCTCTGTTATAGTTGCAGTCGGAGAACATCAGGGACGTGGTGCTCGCCGTAGAGACCCTCTTCGAGCATGCGCACACCTCGAACCATTTCTCTGCTCTCCGCAAAGATCAGTTTCGGGTTCGCGGGGGGATACCCTTGTTGTGCAACCTCCTCAAGTCTACCTCCTGGTATGTGCGCATTTATTCATGCAGCGCACTCGGAGAGCTCGCCTTCGGCAACGAGGAGAACGCGCAGGCCATCGTCGAGACTGAAGGGGCGCTACAGAACCTGGTGGAGCTACTGTCCTACGGTCACAACAGGATGAAGGAGGACGCGGCCCTGGTCCTCAACAACTGTGCCGCATTCTGTGAGAGAGTGTGCCCCAAGATCGTTAGCTGTGAGGGACTGCTGGATGCTCTCAAGAACTCCTTGGTTTCAGGTCCACGAAGGGTCCGGTCCGTGGCGGTGGGAGCTATCAACTGCATCTCTCGGTGCGAGGCGGCGCGACAGAGCCTGATCGATGGCGGGTTTGTGGATGTGCTCTATGACCTGCAGGAGGCCTGCGACGACGTGAACACCATGCAGAACGCTCGCGCGGTCCTGGCCATCTTGAACCTTGTGGGAAGCGTGGATGAGGAGAGGCTGCCGGAAGGTAGTTTCAACGCGATCCTCGACTGCATCGTCAAGATGTTCAAGTCATCGTTGGAGGGCAGAGTGTGGTCGGGCATCCACTTTGCACCTTACAGCATCCTGTGCCCGTTGAGAAGCCTGGTGGCCAGCAAGAGGGCAGCTGGACTTCTCATCGATAAGGGGATCCTCTTCTTGTTGGCAGAGTATTTGTCAACCTGGCAAAAGGATCAGTCTCCGTACTTCCATCAGGATCGGAGCATTGTGTATGCACTACAGGCTGTGGTGGAGTTGAGTCGCAACATGGAAAGTCAGATCCACGTGAAGGGGAGCAGGGTCGTCCAGGCTCTCATGTTGGTCTGCGAGACGGGGAGAGGTGAGCCGGAAGGTTGTAGGAGGGAAGCGGAGCAGGCGATAGATCACTTTAGTAGCTTCCATCTGGCATTATGGATGAGTCAGCACCCACGACTCGGTGGCAACTCGCACTTGAGCCTGCTAGACGATTACCTGCTCGGAATGATTTCGCGCAGGGCCTTGGGAGTGGAGTAGGAGGGGTTAATACGAGCAAGTGGGACTTTTTCTGTGTGCTTGTACTTGTATTTTGATGTACTGAATAAACAGCTTTGTTTTGATCTCATGAGTTGCACACCAAGATGGACTAATAGTTGGAGTGGTTCCGCCTGCTTGCGTCGAGCTTGACCTTGTTTATGATTTAGGTGAACTGCATCATGCTCGTTTGCCTTTTCTGCACAAACGTTGACCGTCAGCGTGTTGGTCGCTCAACATTGCAAGTGACACTTCTTACTTGGCAGCGGACTGCTGATTGAGACACCTATCTCGTGACAGCAAGAGGAGTGAGGCTGCATGGTGGAGGTCTTCAAGGCTGTTGGCCTCGTCCTTGTTGCGGCTCGTGCTAGGCCTGAACTGTTTTCCACCAAATCCACGGGTCTGCAAGGTGCAGCTATCAAACAGAAATTTTGCTTGGGATTCGAACCTCGCCAGTGAATTTCCTCGCTGCCTTAAACTGACTAGAGTTGGTTTGAACCCTTTGTGCATCTGTCAGGGAAATTCAGTCTTGAAGTGTTTGATCGAAGGACTCAAGATTCAATTCCGCACCGGATGCTGAACAGATTTGATTGTTCCTTTGCCTTTTCCTGGAAGGTGCTACAAATGAAGTTGAATCATTCCAGGTCTGGTGTGTAATGAAAAGAAGAATACCATAAATGATTCGTTTGGGTTGCCCCCATGACTCTTGTAAAAACATCGCATATTTCTTGTCATCTGAAATTTGTCTACACGCACGATGTGGACGAATCTGAAATTGTCATCAGTCCGGACAACATACATGGTGGTATTTCAGGAAGAACACGATTTGGGAAGAGTTTATTCAAATGATCAGCGAGGCTTCTGGGCAAACAGAGACGTACCTGAGAAGCTGGCGGCTCAACGCCTGACGTCGCGAGCTCACTCAGTACAGATGACTTAGCTCTTTCGATGTTGTTGAGATCAAGCTCGCTCTTTAGGTAAACACCTGAGGATGCCATCAATGAATCTTCACCTCAAAACGCAAAAATGATGCATGCTGTCTGCAAAGGCACCTTCGTTCAACGTCATTTCTGCAGGCTTTCTTTCTTTTGACGTTGCGACGGTATTCTTCATTTCTTCTACGGCGTAGAGCGATTTTGCATACGTGAGAGTGTACTTCGAAGAGACTCTCTCTTTATCAGTGGATTGTTGCGGCTTGCCATGCGTTGTCTCAGTTCCCTTCTCTGAAAGATTTTCTGATGCCCTCACTTCCAAGTTGGATAAAACAGCGTTCAACAGATTCTTGTCTAGGATCTTCTTGCGGCGAAACTTCTGTACGCTTTCAAGCTTGGTTTTGCCAACCGTTTCTGCAAAGGAATTTTTGTCCTGGAGAGTCTTTCTGTCTGAATGTTCTACCATAATCGCTGATAAAAAAATGTTACAATCATTTCGCACCACCTTTGCCTGCAACAGAAAGTGCAAGAAGGTTTCAAATCTATCAGTTAGTGACAGCCAAAAGCTTTGCAGGTTCGGTTATCAAGATGTGGTCTCTTCTTTACCCTTGCCGGTGTGAGAAATGCTAGCCTCTCACGAAAATCCCCTATCCTCTTGAACTCAACTGAACAAGTCGGAAAACTTTGAGATATCAAACAGTGTTAGCGATTCAATTCAGTACTTGCCCACTGAATATCCACTTTAGTTTGTCTCTCATCTCTATCCCCTCATGCTCTCGTCTTCTCTCCGCTCCTTCCTCATCAGTCCTGACGCGTCTCTCCCTCCTGCTCCCCCGTCTTTCCCCTCCTGCTTCCCGCCATCATGCCAGAGCGGCTTGACTGCCGCGGCGCCGCTGACGGCAGACGGACCCACCCCATAAACCGACTCAAACTTTTCTTCCCTCAACGGACCCCACCCCCTCCACTTCATGGCATTACTACCAGAAGTACAGTCTCAGCCTATCACTTTAGACCACCCCTACCTACCCCCAAGGGACTATTCCACCATCACTTCATGATTCCTCAGACCCCACCCTTCACCTCAAGGTTCACTCTTCAAACCCCCTGGCATCATGGACTCGGACCCCATCGTTTTACTAGAAATGACCCCCACCTCTCGCATTTCTGTTCTACTTCTATGACCCCCACCCCCCTTGTAAGGTCATCATCCTCTCTCGTTGACCCCTCAGGGCCTCGTCACTTCACGGTCTGTCGGCCCTACTGCCAGGCGGGCTCACACGATAGGCTCCGAGTCAGCCGCCCGGGGGCCGCAGTCGGGGGCGGCCGATCGGTGACAGCCCACCGGTGACCCGCGGCCTGCGGCCGGGCGCCGGCGTACGGTCGTTACCCGGGGCTGCCAGCCTGTGACTGATCGCCGGGATCGGACCGGCCGGGCGGTCCGATCGGGGGCCGACCCGGGGCCCGAGTCTCACTGTTTCAAAGTTCCAACGCAGGCTCTGAGCCTGCCTGAAAGCATCACTCTGTCACAGTAACCGAGATCGGACCGTGACCGTACCGTACGGTACGGTACGGTCGGACTTCCCGTCCGATCGGACTTCCCGGACCGAGTTCGGAGTACGGCAGTACTACGGCCATACTACAACGGGACGATGCTCAGCGGCTGGTCATCTGAGCGGCCGCATACCGCTCCGACACATTGAGTCAGAATTTGAATCCTGCGTGACCACGTCTTGAGGAAGCTGACGAATACTTCACCGGCATGAATCTCGAGGCCTGAAAGACTTCAAGTTTGTATACAATCTGAAGGATTGAATTCTCTGTGAAGCGCCATGTATCAAAAAATGGCAAACTTTTGATCGGACATTTCATGTATTCATTCAGATTGTAGATTAAGCACACAGCCCGTGGCTCCAATAATCTGTCGAGTTTTCTTCGAAGATATCAGCGAGATGGAGTGAGATAGTGCTGTCAACTGCTTCAATTTGCAAGGACACCCGAATTGCTTGTAACGAATATGGTCTTTGCCGTTCATCACACAGAAGTCGCATGAAGCACATCCAAAGACTCCACCAGTTTGGGTCAGGAAAGAATACTCCTCACTTGTGAGGTCAAACTCAACTTCAGTGGGGACCTCGTCTGAAGAAATCGAAACATCCTGATAGTCGATGGCGCATTCATGGACGTGCATGTTGGGTCAATATTTGCCAAGGCAGTAGTTCGAGCGATGCGAGAAAAGGAATGAAAGTGAAGGAGTGGGCAAGGCAGGCAGGGTATTCGAGCGAGGGCAAGGCAACATGAATGCCGAAATTGGAGCAGGGGGAGAAGGGGCACGGGGAGAGGGGCCGGCATACTTTGTGGTGCTCAGCGGCTGACGAGATCGCGCTGAGATGTGTGGAGATACCGATCTGCGGAAGAGAGTTTAACCGTCGCCAAGTTGTCCATACGTCACAGGGTTCACCAAGACACTGTGACAGGTTCACTACCCCCCTGGCCGACCCTTCACGCCGGGGTGGTTGGCAGCACAGGGTCACCAGTCCGTCGACTCCTCGGGGGCGAAAAAAAACTTGAAAAGAGATCCGCACGGCGTAACTCAGTGAGTCCTGAGTCTGAGCCCAACCGTGAACCGGCCCCGTCGGTCACAGCCTGGGGCGTACCGTACCGTCTCGGACGGTCACCGCCAGTCACACTGCCGACTTTGAGACTTCTTTCAAGCCGCCGCTGAGCCGCCCCGAGTCGGCGCGGCGCACTGCCGCGCGTGCTGAGGGTGGCAGGCGCATACCGCCGAGTACTTTACTCAAAGTTAAGTCAAAAATCAGTACGAGGACAATCAGGAGCCTGAGTCGAGGAGGCTTGGCCCGTCGGACCCTGACACTCCGTCGCACAGGCCAAACCGTTGAACGGCGAGAAGAGAAAAGACAGCGAGAACCAACCCCAATGCCCTGCCGACTGCTGTCCCCCAAACTTAACTGATACCTTCACTTAACTGCGCGCTGGACAATTCGGAAGCCTAAGTTCCCCCGGCCCATGCCCGGGCGGGGCCGGGCCGGGGCCCGGCCAGCGATGTCACGCGGCGGCCGCCGCCGGGCCGCCAGCGGCACGGTCACGTGGCACGGGTGACGGGAGTCAGTGAAGCACCCGCGCCGGACTCTCCCGGATGACCGCGGCCCGGGGGGGCGCCGGGCGGCCCAGCCGCGGCGGCTCCGGGCGCGGCTGACGAACTTAGTGACTTTGAAAATCTTCCTGGCTCTTTACTCAAAGTTAAGTCAAGTTAAAAATCAGTACGAGGACAATCATCAGGAGAGTAGAGGAGGATTGACCCTGACAACTGTCGCACTGGCCAAACGGCGGGAACTTCCGAGAAAAGACAGCGAGAACTTGAAACCTATCAGTATTCCTGCCCGGCCAACTGCTGTCCCCCAAACTTAACTGATGCCTTCACTTACTGACTGCCGGTGCGCACTGGCAGGACAATTCCCCCGCGCCATGCCAGCGATATCGCCGCGCTGTGGCCGTCGCCGAAGGAATGAGACGCATACCGGCGGGATGCACCCAGCTCCGGTCATAACGGAGTCCGGGCAAGGTCAACTCGGAACTTAGGCGGATGATCCGAGTTGGCTGCGCCGGCCCTCATGATCGGATGATGCTGGGGACTCCGAGGCTCCGGGATCACCGATCATGCCGGATGATCTGGGGGACTCATCAGTGACGTGACTAGGGCCCATGATCTGATGCTGCTGATGATCACTGACCGACAGTGATGATGCTCAGGGTGAGGATGATGCTCAGTACGGTCTGAGCAGTGCTCAGTGATGAAGGCTTGGCATGAGGGGGGATGAGGGATTTTCTCACCACACCCACCCTATGTATTCCACAACAATAGATACTGGTAATACCACCACCTCTCACATGCTATACCCTACCATACATTTTACTACCCTACCATCAAATATAGATCACTAAGACTATATAAATACCCACCAATATGACTTTCCTTCCTCTTACATCACCACCCCATACCCCACCCATCACCGATTGTACCCCTATTTCCGTTACCACCCCACTCAAACGACCACCTGCAGCCGACCCGCCAATGCTAACTTCAAGATAGCGGCCACAGGCAGGCGAATGTCCCTCCACACTCGCCCTCACTCTCTCCTCCTCCTCCTCTCCTCCTCCTCCTCCTCCTCCTTCATCCCGTTCTTACCTCTTCAACCTTCCCTTCATGTTCACCATTGCTGTCCAACTCCCTCTCCTTTCGTCCCCTTGTCGTGTTTCCTTCTATTATCCCCACCACCCTTTCCTCCCTGCATCCTTTCCATCCTTGTTCTGTCCCCTCCTGACCATTCATTCCTACCTACTTTGCTCTGCACCCTTCCCCAATCTGGAGCCCACCCCTGCTGAGATTTCATCTTTGTCGTCTGGTTGCTTCTGAGTCGTTCCAGCCTGATGTTTTCAACACCTGATCACACAACTCACTGTCCTCCTCCTCCTCGTGATCGAAATTATTTCCTCATTCATCAAAGTTTTGCTAAGCACCTCTTGTCTGCGCGCCCCTTTTTCCTTTGACGACAAGCAACTCTCAATCCCTTCGTCCTACTGCAAAAGTGTATATGCAGTAGGATTGATATATCCTTTGCACTGCAGTGGGAATGAACGTTCTTACTTCGATCTGTCAACGTGACTTCAATTCAATCAAGTATACTTGAAGTATCGAGGCAGAATTCTTGAACGTAAGTTCTGCTTTCGTGAAGAAGTTCATGTCTGCTTACCCACAGTGCTAATGGTTGTGTGAGCAGAGCATGAACCGATTATTTCATGTGCTTGCGTTGTGCACTTGGCGGAGACCAGAAGTCTGAAGCATCTGCTTTGCTTGACTGACCATGTCAGGCAGACAATTCAACACAGGTACTTTTCAATCGGACTTGTCTGCAACAGCAAAGATCTGACCTGATGCTTGACTTGTTTCATAGGCAATTCTTCTTCAGGGGCCGCTGTGAACAGTGGAGCCCCCCTCGTAGTGAGGGTTGTAGTGCCAACACGAAAGACAAACTCATCAGAGCTGATGTCAGAAGCAGCCTGCCTCGTGGATTCGGATGCGAGCTCCGATGATATTGTCAAGGCCCTTCGACGCACGTCACATTATGCCAAGACGCCCAAGTTCATCGCGGCTGGAAGCAAGACAGCGGCCCCGATGATCAAGGCAATCCTAGGGCTGATCAGATCTAGATCCTCGGATGAGTCCGTCTCGCTTGCAGTCCTTGAGACGCTCACGACCCTCTGCAAGTGTTTGAAAGGGGTGGCCATCATCATCAGACTGGAAGGGGGTCTTCCTCCCATAGTCTCTCTCCTGGCTTCGCACATCAAGCGCATTTCTTTCCAGAAAGCGGGGTTTACATGCCTCTGTTCCTTGACCACCAGCCCTCAAAATTCAGTTGCAGTGGCCAAGACTGGGGGAGTGCAACTTGTGGTTCAAGTACTGAGTGACAAAGAGACGAAGTATTTCGGTGCCGAAAACATGGAAGCTGCGATCATGGGAGTACAACTGATGATCTGCATGGCCAAGTCCTCAGATGGAACCCTTCCTTTCGTAGGAACTCTGCAAGTAATGCAATCAGTTGTCAATGCTATCTATGCCCGTGTGGGCAACAAGCGTTTTGTTGCGGTTGCAACAGAATTTTTGTTATGTATAGTCAGGAGGCATGTCTCAGAAGATATTACTGAGAATATGCTACAGAGATATATGGACAACTTAAAGAGGGCCGGCGGTATTGATGCTATGTTTGTCGTGATAGGTAGATATTCAGACTCCCAAGAACTTTTCAAGAGTTCGTACATGGTTCTCAATCGTTTACAAAGGACGGTGCTAACATCTGAGGTGCTGGGGGAATTTTCCGAGGCGAAACAGTTGCTGAACAAGACTGTCGTAGACGACACCTTCAACTACGACCTTTGTTTTCCAGAGAATGCAGAGAACAATCCTGATACTATCAAGTATCTCGACGACGTGCATGCAGAGGCCTTGCCGCGAAGAGGTCTTCCCCCGGCTGTCAGCGGTGTCCGGCCCATGTTGAAGAATGCTGGGGTCTCTGTTGCGCTCTCCCGCAGCATCGCAAGCAACTCTCGAGAGCCGTTTCTTCCGCCGGGCCCTGATGTGCTCGCCGAAGTGATGCTGCTGAATGTGGCGCGCTGGCTCAAAACTCGTCCAACACTGGACAGACTCGTTTACAGCTTGCATTTTCCTGATGCTCCGTGCGAGAAGTTGTTTGACCTTGCTCGCCACATCGTGTCAGGGTACAAGGGCTCACCGGATGGCAAGTACGACAATGGCAACGGTTTTGATGAGATCGACGACACGGAGCTTGAGATGACTGCGGTGAAAGCGACGTCAGCAGCTCCCAAGGGCGAAGTGGATCCTGACGGGCTCGAGAACGAGATGGCGATGCTGGATCCTGTCGATGCCAGGAATGAAGACGACCTAGACATGAATGCGATCGCCAACGAGTGGAGCTCCTCGACCCTTCCACGAGTCAATCGCTCCGCTAACCTCTCCCGGACGCAACGTGACACGGTCTCGGACGTGAGTGACGAGGAGATCGAGCAGGATGTCGAGTGCGATGGCGACGACGACGACATCCTTGACCCTGATGATACCGACACTCCTGAGGAGCTGCTTGACTTGGCCGGCCTGGAGATTGAGGACCCTGCAGGTCTGGACCCCGCAGCCATGGAGGATGAGCATGTAGTGGCCGAGGAGCTTGTGGATGTCAAGTTGGAGAGTCCTGTGGAGCAAGAGAAGATGCTTGCCGGAGCAGAGATCGCGAGTGCCGGCCCTTCGAACCTTCCCTCCCCCTCAGACGCTCTAGGAACGATGTCAAGGTCGACCTCGAAAGATGACCTGGACTCAAACTTTTCTTCAATGAGTGACCTGGCTGAGCTCGAATCCGCGAGAGCAGAAGTGATGGGCACACGAAGGAGCAAGTCCTGCAGCGACAACTTGGAGAGAGGACAGGGTGAGATGGAGCGGCTCAACGACATGCCCAGGGAGATGGTGGGGGAGAAGGCGAGTGGGAAGCATCCTCAGTCCGTGACATCTGAGATCAACTCGAAGACTCTCTTGTTTGACTCCAGGTTCGAAGGCGGAAACCTCGGACGAGTCATACAGGTCTGGCTGCGATGAGTCGCAAGGAAGGGACTGAAGCCTCGTGATCAGGTGCACGAGTACGAGTACGACTTGTACCTGATGCCGGACATCAACACCAAGGCCTCTCAGAGTGGCGGCAACACGCAGGTAATGACTCTTGGTGGCGGATGACGCGACATGAAAGGCTTCTGTAGTGGTACTACTTCGCTGTGACCAACATGGAAGCCGGTGTAGAGTACAAGCTGAACATCGTCAACTTCGTCAAGGTCTTCCTCATAGTTTGTTTTCTCTCGCCCCCTGCCTGACCTTGTGGCTCTGCCTCAGCCCGACTCCTTGTGTAACGTCGGCATGCGCCCATCGCTCTTCTCAGTTACCGAGGCTTCAAGGTAGGCCTGCGATGCTCTGCTGGCGATCTTGACGCCACGTTGCAGGGGCGTTGGGTGGAGGCGAGTGGGGGAGAGGATAGCATACTACGAGAACCATTACGAGACAGAGACTGGGCAGTCCTACTACACGCTGACCTTTACCCTTGTCTTCCCCCACGGCAACGATGTCTGCTACCTGGCGCATTGTTATCCGTACAGGTTCGTCATGCTTGCTCTCCCCTTCGGAAGGTTTGACTGGCATTTGTTAACAGCTATACCGACTTGTCTCATCTCATTGCCGAGCTGCTGGCTCGACCCAACGCTTCTCGCATCGTCAAGGTCTCGACGATGTGCGACACTCTGGTAACTTCACTGCTTCCCTTCATCCTATTCTTCTCTTGCACTTGCACTCTCCTCCCAACCCATCCTCCCTTCTCCTCCCCTCTTCTCCTGCTGCTCTCCTTTCCTCTTTTCCTTCTGCTCTCCTGCTCTCCCGCTCTCCTCCCCTCTTGCTCTCCTCCTTTCCTCGTCACTGTGGCGCTCTTCAATGACTTCTCCTGCCCTCTCAGATTGGAAACAAGTGCCCCATGCTGACCATCACGAACTTCATGAGCCCGCCTGAGGTTATTTCCCGTCGTCGAGCCATCTGGTCCCAAGACTCTGTCCTGTCCTCCCCTCTCTCATTTATCATCCTTGCAGTGTATCCGCCCGGGTCCATCCTGGCGAGACTTGTGCGTCCTGGACTATGCACGGGTGAGCTACTTCTCCTCGAGGCCGATGTGCCTGACATGTACTTGCAAGCTTCCTTGAGTTCCTGTGCGGCTCCTGTGCCCGCGCGCGGATCTTGCGGGAGAACTTCATCTTCAAAGTCGTTCCCATGCTCAACCCCGATGGTGTGATCAACGGGCAGTATCGGTCAGTCGCTCTCGTTGCCTCACTGCATCCTAACTCTATCTCCGCAGCTGTTCCTTGTCAGGACATGATTTGAACCGCCAGTGGCAGAACCCTTGTCGAGGTCAGTTGAGCAGTGCCCCTCCCTCCCTCCCTCCCTCCCTCCCTCCCTCCCTCCCTCCTCTCCTCCCCTTCCCTCCCCTCGTTGCTCTCCCCTTCTTGTTCCCTTCCATCTGACGCGACCTGCTCAGTGCTCCATCCGACGGTGCACTCGTTCAAGCAGATCATCCGATACACCAAAGGTGAGGCGGTTGACTTAGATATCAGTCGCGCTGACTCAGCGTGAAGCCGCTCGCGACGTCGCCATCTTCTGCGATATTCATGGTGAATCCCCGACCTCACCTCAGCTCACCTCAGCTGACCCTGCTTCCGTGCAGGTCATTCACGGAAATGTAACATGTTCATGTACGGGTGCACATCGAAGCAAACAGCGTTGCGTCTCAAGGAGAGGGTGAGAGACTCTCCGTGACTTTCTGTGTCTTCCTTGTCGTCTTGGTCTCATCAGCTCCCTCGTTCCTCTCATCTCTTTCTCTCCTCCCTCCTCTCATAACCTCGTCGCTCGTCCAGGTCTTCCCCTACCTCCTGCACAACGAGAGCCTCATGTTCAGCTACGACGACTGCAACTTCAAAGTCCAGAAATACAAGGAGTCAGCGGCAAGGTTCCTCCTGATTTTGTCTTTTCCCACAATGTTCCGTTCCCACCCTCCCTTCTGTTCCCCTCTCCTTTTCTCCTTCTCTTTTCCTTACTGCCCCTCTCCCTACTTCCTGATATTTTGAGCAGAGTTGTAGTCTGGCGGGAATTTGCCATCCCTAACAGCTACACGCTGGAGATGTCTCTCGGTACGAGGCCTCTGACCCTCCTGCTCCTGCTCTCTTTACTCTCTCCTCCTCCTCCTCCTCCTCCTCCTCCCTCCTCCTCCCTCCTCCTCTTTCTCCTCACTGCTCTTGCTCCTGCCCTCCTTCACTTCGGTTGTAAAGGCGGCGGAGACTTCGGCGAGGATCCTTCTGTCCGCCCTCCGATCCACTTCAACGTAACGCCCAGCTGCCTATTGTGAGCCGCTAATGCTGGAATGCAGCTCGAGGACTACCTGGACATGGGGAGGCTGTTCTGCGAGGTGACAATGGTCCTGACCGACTGGTCGTGCCATGACTGAAGGGCAGGCGATACTGGAGATGTACGATCCTTCCAGGGTCCGGCTGGACGCGGCGCTGAACGAGTTGGAGCTGCTGCATCCTGAGATTAAGAGAGCGTGAGTGATGCCGCCGGGCCCGCTGCTGGCGAGCTGACCGTCATGCCGCAGGTCGGGAGAGGACATCATGGAGTTTGAGCTCGGGGCAGGGAGCGGGGGTGGAGAGCAAGATGCAGAGGCCAAGAAGAAGAAGAAGGAGGGAGTTGCTAACGGCAAGGGGCAGCTGACTAAGAAGAACTCTGGGAAGCTTGTGTCTAAGGGGGTGGCCAGTTCGTCCAAGACGGGGAAGGGGAAGAAGGTTGTGGAGGCGAACAAGAGGCAGAGCGTGAAACGAGGGTGAGGGAGGAGACGGTGAGCAAGACGGCAGGAGTCACTGGGACGCGTGAATTGATTAAAGGAGAAATATTCTTTTCTTCTGCTCGTGACCTTCTCCGAGTGACTGAGCTACCGTCTGAACTTTCATGCGGCCCGGGCTGAATCACTCGGATTGATATATCATTGTGCCCCTAAGATTTGAAATCATCAGACACAGTTCTGAATGTTTTGGCAGAAACACCGTTCTAAATTAAGGAATTGTACCAGAAGTGTCTGTTTCAAATGATGTCAGTTTCAGCAAGATTCAGCAACACAAATGGATACCGCCTGCCTGGGGAGCCTGACTCGGAGTACGTCTGATACCATCACGACGGTTCTGAGAAGCACCAATTCGAGCTGAGGTGTGTGGACGTCGGTTGCTCTGAAGTTTAGCAACAGATACTGAGTACATGTGATGGTTTGTAATCTGCATCTTAACTTCGTTCCTGTGTTCTTTGTAATTAGAACATGACTGGTGTAATTGGCGGACCATGCAACATTGTCTCGTGCGTAACACGTTCTTCATCCGGCGTATCGGCGACCGCGGCACAGTGACTCGGACCGCAGGTTGACCGGGCGGGGGCCCCGGCCCGGTCGCGGGGGGGCGGCGGGCGGCGGCTCCCGGCGGCCAGGCTGAGGCTCGACGGTTATCATCCGAGGCTAGTCACGTATCCTTGGGACCTCCGTGACTCGCTGAGGCTGCGGCTAGAGCCTCTGGAGGGGCCCCGGCCCGGAGAGAGCCTCATCCTCTGCCAGGCTGAGGGCGCGGCGCGCCACCTCGGTCCGGGCTCGGAGATAGCCCCCTCGGGCCACTCCCCGGCGCGGCGGGGCCCTCCTGGGCCACGCCGGTGGCCCACTGGCAGGCTCCCCCGCCGGGCCCGGGCCCCCGGCGGCGCCGGCCCGGCCGCCGATTCATCATGGCCGCTGAGTGCGATCCGACGGAGCCGGCAGCCTGTCACTGTGCGCCGTGACCGGGGAATGAGCCGTTTTGATTCATACCCCTCATACCCGATACCTGACCCGTAATAAAATATTACTCAATATTTTTTCACAAGTGCGCCTCGGGGTTGTACAATACTCACATATTGAAGACATCTTCGTTCTATTCATTCAGATTAGCCAGATCATTAGGAGAAGAAAATCGCTGCCCCAGAAACTGTGTAAAGAATGTATAAGAATGTATAACAGAAGCCTTGACACTCAGAGCAAGTACCCCCTTATTTAATGTTTTTCAAGGGGGTAGTGATACTATTCCTCCCTTATACCGTGGTTGTATTGCTCATACTTGTTTATACTCCAAAAATATTTTTAGGGTGGGAATATGACAGGATTCTTGCCCGCCATGGCGCAAGGAGCCGTCAGAAGCGCGTAGGAGGAGGAGGAAGGAGAGCAGAGCAGTTCCCGTCTCTCCCTCCTCCTGCACAAGCCCCCGTCACCAGGCTCCTCGACTTGCCTGTTGCGCCCCTGGAGTGTCCGGCTCATCCTGTCTAGCTCCTGGAGCGTTGCCTTCGAGGTTTTCGTGGGATTGTTGGGAGGGCTGGGAGGGGAGGGAGAAACTCTGAAACATCAGAGACCATATCGGAGATCATGTTGAAGAGAAACGAAGACGTCGAGATGGTACTCAGAACAGTCTGACACTGACAAGAGTCTTCTTCTTGGTCTTGTTGCGTGATTCTTTCACGAAGGTCCCGAACACCTCAAACTCTATCATCGACAGCGAGACGGTGGCGCCTTATCCAAGTCACGGATTCTTTCCACTCAAGACGACAGGGTTTCTTGTGTGGGCCTGTTGAGATCGATCGGTCGGATCTGCAAGGATAGGACGGGTTGACCTGTTTTACGCCGGGAGTTGCAAATCATATTGGATCCGAAAGCGAGATCGGAGCAGGCTTCTTGACGGGCAAGGAGGAGGGACGAGGAGGAGAGGGCGAGAGCGACTGCAAGGTGGAGGAGGGATGTGCGACCCTGTCTTTGCTCAGGTTTGAGGGGGCGTACAGGGCGGAGCTTCCCTCGAAGAGGCTCCAACTACCCCCTGCCGCCTGCCATGCCTCTGACCTCCTTGTCCCCTGCCTCTCGTCAATGAGTCAGGACCCCAAGCACGTTCAGCCCCCTCCCTATGCCGAGGAGGCTCGAGTGTCTCACTCAATTGACCCTCCTCCTCCTGCCCCGTGGCTTCATGCGGGTGGACAACAGGGTTGGCCCGCCCTAGTGACCTTGCCAGCTTACCAGGGGGCCTCGTCGCAGGCCGGTCCTCTGTCACCTCCTGACGTTCAGTCGAAGTTCTTCATGGGGAGAAGAATCTACGGGAGGAGCGGAGGGCCTGGCGAAGCGGCAGGACGATCAGGAGGAGGAGGAGGAGGAGGAGGAGCCGAAGGAAGGATGTCAGGAGTTTGTTCGCCTGCTGTGACGGGAGGGATAGGAGAAGTCGTCGAGGCTGGAGGAGCGGCGGCCGGAGGAGAGACCGCCGGAGCACCAGCAGGAGGAGGAGCAGGAGGGCACGAGCAAGAGTCCGAGCTAGACCGCAAGATCGTCAGGGCGCTGCAGGACTTCCTGAGGGGGAGGGAGTGGGTGGACATCACCACCCCCAGGCAGATCAACGAGGCCTGCTCCGCCATCGTCAAGGGCTCGGGCGTCTCCCTGCAGAAGCTCAACAAGAAGCTCAAGAAGGGCAGCTGGAGGGAGAAGCTAACGAACTTCATCTCCCGCTTCCCCTCCACCTTCGCCCTCGACACCTTCGAGAACAACTTCTGCGTCCGCCTGCGGCACGATGAGACCGAGGCTCCCGCCCCACCTGCTGCCCAGCACAACCCCCAGCTCGCCTCCCCCCAGCTGTTCGCGGGGGGTTACGGGCAGCTGGGAAGGCACCCCCCTTCCGGCTCCCCGATGGTGGCGCAAGGAGGGGTGAAGACGCCGGAGGAGCAGGTGATCGAGCTGATCAAGGCGCTTCTGCGTCACCTCAAGAGCTCGGAGGGGAAGGACTGGGTGGACATCACCAACATGCCAAAGGTCTTGCTGCTGCTGCTGCTGCTGCTGCTGCTGCTGCTGCTGTCCTGCTCTCCTTCCTCTTCCTCTTCGCATCGCCATCTTCGTCCACTTTCTCGTCCCCTCTCCTTCATCTTGCTCATCCCATCTGTCTGCCATACTCCCGACTGACTCAGCCAGCAGGCAGCTCACATGATGCAGCGCAAGCCCTCCGTGGTCGGGGTGTCTCTCCGGCAAGAGATTCTCAGCTCCATCTCCAGCTCTGACCGACCTGCAGCTGGGGCAGCCGCGACGTTGGGCCCGAGGAATGGCAGCGGCTGATGGCAGAGATAAGAACCAAGCACGGCAAGCTCGCCAACTTCCTCTCGAAGCACCCGGAGGTCCTGAAAGTTCCTCCTGCTCCTGCTCCTGCTCCTGCCCCTGCCCCTGCTCCTGCTCCTGCTCCTGCTCCTGCCCCTGCCCCTGCTCCTGCCCCTGCTCTTGCTCCTGCTCCTGCTCCTGCTCCTGCTCCTGCTGTAGCTGCTGCTCCTGCCCCTGCTCCTGCTCCTGCCCCTGCTCCTGCTCCTGCCCCTGCTCCTGCTCCTGCCCCTGCTCCTGCTCCTGCCCCTGCTCCTGCCCCTGCTCCTTCTCTCCGTCCTCTTGCTCCTGCTCATCCTGCTCCTCACTCTGCTCCTCCCCCTGCTGCTTCACTCATGCGGTTCTTCCCCTCTCTCCCTCCTCCTGCGCCACACGTGCCTCCCGCTCTGCCCATTCACGCCTCCTCCCCTTCCTCTTCACACACTCTCTTCCCCTGGTTCATTCCTCCCCCTCCCCTGAGATTCTCTTCAGATCTTTGAGCTTCGCAACCGGCCGGGAGGAAAGGACATCCGGCTCGTGGCAGAGCAGGAGGCATCTTTTCTCTCCTCGTCTCTGCACGCGACAGCAGCAGCAGTGGGGCAGGCGGAAGCAAGCGGAAAGACGCTTCCTGCTGCAGCACAAGAAGCGACAGATCAGGTCCGTGCCTTCCTCCTTCCTCTCTCCTCTCTCCTCTCTCCCTGTTCTCGGCACACGCTGCTCTTCGTCCTCCTCATCTCTCCATCCTTTCTTTTGTCTTCCTCTCACGCCCTCCTCTACGACTTTACAGCTAACTCTTGAGCACGGCGTGGCACCTTTACGAGGTGAGTTTTGTACCAACTTTCACCTCCTCCTCCTCCCTCTCCCTCTCCCTCCCCCTCCTCTTCCCCCTCCTCCTCCCCTCCTCTTCCCCTCCTCCTCCCCCTCCTCTTCCCCCTCCTCCTCCTCCTTCTCCCTCCTCCCCCTCCCTCCTTCCCCTCCTCCTCCTCCTTCTCCCTCTTCTTCCCCTCTTCCTCCCCCTCCTCCTCCTCATTCTCTTCCTTTCCCCCTCTTCCTCCCCCTCCTCCTCCTCATTCTCTTCCTTTCCTTGACCTTCTGCTCCTTCTGCTCCGTCGCCTCCTGTCCTTACCTCTCATTCCAGGACGGGCAAGCCGTTCCAGTGGAGGGCGAGGAGTTGAAGCAAAGTCCTCCTCCTCCTCCTCCTCCTGGATCCGGTTCTGCGACAACTGCGGCAAGCAGGGGTACTTCTTCCTCCTCCCTCTCCTCTCTCGCTCACGGCAGATGCAGACACACTAGCGCCGTCTGCAGTCTTCCTCCCCAATGCCATGTATGCGGTTCTGTTCGACACTCTAAGAAGGTCGACCTTCTGCTGCTTCTCCTCCTCCTCTATCTCCTCCTTCTCTCTCTCCTGCCCCTCCTGCTCCTCTCCTTCTGCTCCTGCTCCTCTATCTCCTGCTCCTCTATCTCCTGCTCCTGCTCCTGCTCCTGCTCCTTTTTATCCTCCCTTCCCCTCCTCCTCCTCTATCTCCTGCTCATGCTAATTCTCTTCCTTATACTTTGGCTGCAGGATTGTCCCAAGAGGACTGAGAGGTGCAGCCTGTGTGGAAGAGTGGGACATCTCAAGGTTTGTTACTCCTGCCGGTGCTGCTGCTGCTGGTGGTGGTGGTGGTGGTGGTGGTGCTGCTGCTGCTGGTGCTGCTGCTGCTCAGAATGTTCGTGGCCAGTATTCCACTGCCTCTTCTCTCCAGTACCCCATCCTCTCGTCCTATCTCCTCCTTCCCTTCTCTCATTTCTCATCGGCTTGACCAGGTCAAGTGTCGCACGGGCGTCACTGCCATGCGAAGCTCGCAGGAGAGCCACCAGATGGCGTGGGGGGCATGGGACGAAGCAGCTCTTCCTCCCGAGACTGAGAAGCTTCCTCCTCCTCCTGCCGCTCAAGTCTCTCTCCTTCCTTCGTCTCCCTTCCTCTCTCGTTTCGTACCCGAGCACGCCGCAGCGGCTGTATCCTCCTCCTCGGAGCATCAGTCCCAGCAAGGCTCGTGCTGGGTCCTGCTGGAGACTCGAATGACCCTCTCAACTGCCTGTGAATGGATCAGACAGCATGCGGTTAGACGAAAGCCCTCCTCTTCCTCCTCTTCCTCCTGTTCCTCCCCTCTCCCCTCTCCCCTTCTCCCTTCCCCTCCTCTTCCATCTTCCTTCCCCCTCCTCCTATCCTCCAGTGCTGCTGCTGTTTCTGCTGCTACTCCAGTGCTCCTGTGTTTCCTCCTGCCCTTCTCCCTCCCCCTCTTTCTTCTTTCGACTGACGTTCCTCAGGTCACTTCCTCATGGCGTGTCAAGGGGGTCTTCTCCTCCCGAGATGCCGCAATCCAGGTCAACATGACCCCCATTACCTGCTGCTGCTGCTGCTGCTGCTGCTGCTTCTTCTCCTCCTCCTCCTCCTCTACACCACCATCTCGTCTTCAAACTTGATCGTTTATCTCTCCCCTCCTCCTAATTTCTTCTTGTATAGAACGGCAGAGTCCAGTGGGTCTCCCAGTTTGGTACCTCAAGGTGATTGTCATCCCCGACCGCTTAGTCGTCTCCTCCTCCTTCTCCCTCTCCATCGCCTCCTTCTGCTCACCTCTTCCCTCTCCTTCGTACTCTCCTCTGTCTCCTCCTCCCCTTCCTCCTCTCCTCTGTCTCCTCCTCCCCTTCCTCCTCCTCTTCCTCACCATTCTTCTCTAGGGGCTGGGAGCCATGTGACCGTCTCGTTCCCGTGAGAGAAGAACGAGGGAGATGGCAGGAACTTCCTGCCTCCTATCCTCCTCCTCCCGACCAACATCGAGCACGAAAAGCGCAGGACTCTCCTGCCCGGCCGGACTGGAGCTCTTCTTCCTCCTCGCCCTACACATCCCTCCCTCCCTCCGCCCTCCTCCCTCCTCCTCCTCTCCCCCCTCAGGATTTCCTCACTGCCAATGTTCACTTCTCGACGGACTTGCCAGGCATGACGGCGTTTGGGGGAGTCCAGGCGGGCAGCGGAGAGTTCCTGTGGGCAGCCAAGCAGCGTTCTCCTCCTCCTCCTCCTGTCCTCTCTCCTCCTCCTCCCTCTCCTCCCTCTTCTCCCATCCTCTATGTCGAGTTCACCGTACAGAAGAGCGTCCTTGTGCCGGACCCTCACTGACTGGCTACCCTGCAGCAGCAGCAGCTGCTGGAAAGAGCGACAGGAGACGCGCGGACGCTTGTCAAGATTGTTCGGCGCTGCAGGGTGAAACTCTCCAGCTCATAGCCCAGCTCGATCTTCCATATTCTTTCCTTGTCATCGGCCCCACCTGGCTCCCGCCTGCACGGTGTCAAGATGTTTTTTTTTCTCAGCTGCCACTTGATTGTTTTTCTTTTACTTGTCTTTACACCGACTGCAATGAACTTGCTTGTCTTCCCCAGCTGATCTCTCAGAACGACCACTCTACGTTTCTCTCCTCCTGCCGCTCGTTCCCCCTCCCCCTTCCGTGCCCTGACTCCTCGACTGGCTTCTCCTGCTGCAGCAGGGAAGCACGGGTCAGCCTGCGGCAAGGGGATGGTAGCTGCAGATGAAAGTGGGAGTAGAAGGATGCAGATCGAAAGGAGAGGGAAGGGAAGGAGAGGGAAGGGAAGAGGGAAGGGAAGGAGAGGGAAGGGAAGAGGGAAGGGAAGGAGAGGGAAGGGAAGAGGGAAGGGAAAGGGAGGGAAGGGAAGGGAAGGGAAGGGGAGGGAAGGGAAGAGGGAAGGGAAGGGGAGGGAAGGGAAGAGGGGAAGGAGGGTGAGGGAGAGGAGCAGGGCCGTGGGGAGGAAGTAAAGGAGACGAGGAGAGGGCGAGACCTCAAGGGAGGGGCCGGCAGGGGCTGCAGGAGTCACGTGCTGCTGCCCAACACGTTGGCTGTTGGTGATGCCGGTAGCGCTTGTCATCTCATCGATAGAACCCACCAGACCTTCACGTCAGTCAGACGCTCCTCCTTCCTCTCCTCCTCCTCCTGTTGAGCCCCTCCCTCCTCCTGTTGAGCCCCTCCCTCCTCCTGTTGAGCCCCTCCCTCCTCCTGTTGAGCCCCTCCCTCCCTCCTCCTCTCTGACCCTCCCTCAGCTCCTCCCCATCACATCATGTCTAGCCCTCGATCGCTCTTCCATCTCCATCCCTCCCGCTGGTCTGCTTCCTCCCTTCCCACCAGCACCTCACCTAAGAAGAGTATGTTGGATGGTATCAGCCAGTTGAGCGCGTCGTTCCTTCTCCCGTCGTCGCGTCGTATCCTTAAACGTCTAGTCAAAGTCCAGCTGCCGTTCTGCTCCCTCACCTCCCCGGAGTCAACGTCTCTGAGTTGATCGCTTGCACCGTCTCGCCCCTCTGCTTCCACTGCTGAGATGAGGGAGAGGAGGGAAAGGAGGGAGAGGAGAGGAGAGGAGAGGAGAGGAGGAGGAGAGACGATGTGGCAGGGATGGGTGAGAAAGCAGCAACGCCTCACCTGAGGAGTTGAGAACTCTTTCATCACTTGCTCTCTATGAAAATCGAAGAAATCGTGAGGGTCAAGAGAAAAGCTTTCCAACGGATGCAGGAGCAACAACTGAGAGGAGGAAGGCAGTGGGACAAACAAGCAGAAGCAGGAGAGGAGAAACAAAAAGTCCACAAGTAGATGTTACATGTAGATGGCCTACCGGTACAATCGAACAGAGCGGGCCACTCCACTTGACGCCAAGTTTGCTTCCTGTCAATCATCGAGACTCGTTCAAGCACGAAACGGAAGAAATGAACGAACCGAGTAAAGCGAAGAAGAAGCTGCGTAGAACTCTCGGATGCGGACGCGGCAGATCTCGTTAGGAGCAGGAGGGGATTTGAAGCCGAAGACAAGAGACTGTCGTCCTGCAGTCAGAAAAAAGCGAGCACAGGAGGAGAGAAGGACGAACGAGGCTCTCTCTGTCGTAGTAAGGATGCGCCAGCTCGTGTCCTCGAACTACTTCATCGTCATTTCCTCACCTCACCTCACCTCTCCTGTCCTGCCCTGTCCTGTCCTGCCCTGTCCTGTCCTGTCCTGTCCTGCCCTGTCCTCCCTCGCTCCTCCATCAGCATTACCTGCAACCCACTGATTGACGTGCTCCCCCATGTGGATCTCTCGGTCAAATTTGATCTTTCCAAGGTGAAAGTCATGTTCAACTCGCCCCTTTCCTCCCCATCCTCGTCCTCGTCCTCGTCTTCCTCCACTCCTCCTCGTCCTCCTCCTCCTACCACGATGACCGCAGACTCCACTGTCACCCTTGAACTTGGTCTTGGAAAGATAGCTGAAACAGTAATGATCAGCTTACGACACACAGCTACCTCCCTTCTCGAATCAATTTCCTGCCTTCCCTTCCATTCAAACCCTCCCTCCCTCCTCCTTTCCCCTTCTCTCTTGCGAATACCTGTCAATCTCAACGGGCTGTACCCGGATGTAAAGAAGTTCCATGATATCGATCCATGTACGGGTTCCTGTACAATCGAAAGCAGCTGTCACTTCCCCTTTCCTTGCTTGACAGCACATGTTACCTTGCTCTTCTTGTGAATGAAGGGAATGGCATTCTTGAAGTTCTCATGGTTGAGCATAACAGTGTATTGTCTGCAAGGCTGTGAAGCAAACCAATCAAAACCCTCCGGCAGATGTTTTGTCAAACAACCTGCAGATGGCTCTTTGCAGTCCAGACCACCTGAAAAGCATCTCAACGATAGTCTACATGTCATTCCACCGCAATCATCGACACCATTGCAACAATGAACAAAGTTGGAATTTGCCAAATCTCCACTCAAAGCCTCACAATGCAGTCTTGAAGGTCGACGCTGATTCGCCCTTCCAGCTCGCGATCCACACATCCCCGCTCAATCACTGAAAGTCAATCCAGTCACCTCCCCGACAAGGTTTCCTCTTCACGTTCACGTTCACCTCTGATCAACATCTTGCTCACTGTCGCCAGGTCGGGAACCCCATGGATCTAGTCTACGTCAACCGTCTGAACTCCCCGTATCTCCTCTCACCTTCCCCCAGAACGAGTTCGCGCGGTCCTCCGATAGAAACTTGACTGCTACGATGGAAGCCCCCGGGTCGACCTGTATAGCATGATGAAGGGGAGGACGGGAGGATGGGAAGGTGAAGAGTGAGAGAGGGAGAGAAGACGGTAGTAGAGCATGGTAGTTTCTTTGGCAGCGTTGAGGGAAGGGAGGGGGGAAGAGCAGCAACTGCCGTAACCTCCATCTCATCTTTTCTTGGCGAGATGCTGTCAACAAACTGCTCCACGCTTCGTCCCCCCGCTGGGAGCAGTCACCCGACAGCCACGAGGAGGAAGGAGGCGAGCGATAGTATGAAGCAAGATACACATGATGGGCGGAAGGATGGTATACCTGCTGGGCCCACTGCGAGCAGCACCGACGGTTTTTGTATGTTGTACTCCCGTAAGGTGTGCTAGGAGGAGTCTCGACTTCACGTGGCAGTCGATGAAAGACGCACTGACCTGATCTTGCAGTTCTCTACCTGCAAACACGAGGCGCTGAGATTCCGGGGGAAGCTCGCCCTGTTGCAAGCCGTTATCCAGGGCAGTGACGGTGAGGGATCGACTAGGGGGATGGACCTGTATGCAGGAGATTTCCTCTTTCACATCTTCGATGTAAAAGTCAGGGCCGCACATGATGCTCCGCTGGTGGTTCAAATGTGTAAGAAACATCTCTGACCAGCAGGATATGAGCACCATCGTCCCCATAAGGGACTTGACATGCAGAGGCTTGCCCAAGTACTGATCCTCGTTGAGCACAAGATGTAACAGGCAGCCTATCAGCGTCACTGTGAGCAATGATGAGATGATATAGGTCTCACCATCATTCTGAATCGTTTGGCCGATCCTGACGAATGGCACAAGCAGCAGTCCTTTGTAGATGAAGAACTTGTGGTGACTGGGAATTTGTGGCGCGCTACAGAATGTATATCACTAACAACCGACAACAGACCCTTGCCAACCATACCTTCTAACTTCTTTTGCAAGCTCTGAAACCAGCCTCGTGGGATCAAAGAAGATCATCTCAAGTTCGCCATTCCAGTTCACAAAGATTCGTATTTGTCGATTCTTGCTTCTTTCGACGGGCTGTGAGCTTTGAACCCCACGGCCTTCCTCTTCTATTTTCGGATAATCTCCGAGATCTGCTGCAACAGCATTCTGCATCGCCATGTGGCAAGGTGCCGTTAAGAATGCGTTTCACATTACATGGTCACAGCCCTTCCTGGTGGGAGCATCTTGGTTGCAAATAGGCAAGGTTGTCAGATATAAGTTGTCACATATCTGATGAATTCCTCCGCAGCTACGATCTTGTCTTGTCTCCGCAACGTTTCTTCCTGCTGTGAAGAGGCTGCAGGAAATGATGCACCAAAACCTGCAGGTACCCCATAACTCAGATAAAGGAATTGTACTCGCTTAACGGAGTCTTCAGACCCGATGAACCCGACGGTCACAAGACGTAATGACACGAAATCTTCTCCTCTGATATGCTCTCCTCTGGCATGACCTTTCTAACCCTTCCTTCTCTTCTCTATATCTTAGTCATTGCGATCTTCGTGTATGAGGTCTCTGCTTCCCATTTACCTTTCCTGTGCTCATTGAAGTTTTCCCGGCAGCAGTTTCCCAGTTCTTTCGATCTACCTTGCATGGATTCGGATTCTTGTGTTCCTTGCATAGCTCATATTCCTTTTCAATCTCCAGTCTTGTGAATGGTCTCACATCCTAACTCTCCTCCTGTCTTGCATGCTACCTTCACTGCTCCCTACTGGATTTCGCCTTGTCTCCATTCCATTCCGACAATCTACCACCCCCCACCCTCCTTTGTTGAGAACTCGGGATATTGTACCCTACCCTATATTTGACCAATTGTTGGTCTTCACCCTACCTTTTACCAGTAGTTACATCTGATATTGAGACACAGGATACTACCCCCACCATACAAAATCTGCAAAGTACCCCACCCACCTTCAAAACTCCGAGAGGTAAACGGTGTCCTTGGCAAACTTTCTATGAAAAGCTCTGAGGCGAATCTGAAAAGCCTCAACTTACTATTTTAAAACCACATATTATAATCTCTACCGAATATACAACATTTTGTATCTATGCTAGTTATTTGCATACCACACATCCACAAAAATATTTATATTCACGATCCAAGGTAGGAATGCACTACAGATGAGCTCTTGTTATGTCACGATTTTTGAAAGCTCTCTATAATGCGTGAGTGATTCCTGGGAGAGTTGGTACTGTTACTAAAAGTATTTGCATTTGGGGATTTCTTGCTTGAATTTGGACAATGTCGCCCAAATGATAGCAACCTCCTAGCGAATTTCGATCACATATAACTGATTTTGTCCCTTTATTTTCAACCTGAGATCGAAAATTCACCCTGCACAATTCCAATTCGAGTTGGATGTTTTAAAACTCTACAAGTATTTTTCTCATCGTGTTGACCCGTAGCAAAAGTTTATAACATGTTTTAAAACACGCCATCTTTCTCCCACCCTTACTTCACACCTGTCCTGGCACCATGCTCCAACTTTGTTCAGCCCAGCGTTCGTTGTGGTATGCGCTCCTCGCTCCCAAGCTCCTCCTCTTATCTATTCCCACTTCATGGCAAGAGTCGAATGCTCCCTCAATCGCAGTTTCCTTGATGCATCTCAATCCTTTAGAAGATGCCTTTGTTTCCCCACCGCACCATGTTGTTGGTGGGGACTTGTCGCGTGACTTCGCCGTGTCAGTCTGTTCCCCCTCCTTCTCCCCCCTTTCCTGTCTGACATCTGCTATGATTGTCTTCCACAAGATCGTGATATACTGAATAATCTGTCTGTCATTGTCTCGTATGTATTGGCTTTGAGATTCATTTTCTAGACGCTTGCAGACCAATTCATTTGGTGGTGCGTACTAACCCAACATTGCAGGTGAAAAGTGGTGCTTGGCCAGTCTCTCATATATCTTCTAGTGTGTCAAGGTACGAAAATGTTAGGTTTGCAAGCTCATCACTTAATCTGGTCATGTGCTGCTTTGCAATTACAGGCGCCTTGTAATATGGCTCCCGTCACCGCGAAGAGAAAGCGTCCTTTGCCGCTTCTTGTAATGCTTCGAATGATTCCTCTCTCTACTTGATCGTCTGACGAATATGCAACAGCCTTCTTGTCTGGATGACATCCAACGACAAATCGAGAAATTTCAGAACAAACCAGCGGAGCTTCTGAAAGTCATGAATTATGTACTTGAAATGGACGCGCCGTGGCCATATGAGAAGGTAATTCATACGAATTTTCAAATAGCCTATTGAAATGTGCAAAGGGCGATCTGTTGCAGTGGTCTCGTATCCTGGATCTGTTTGATGGGTTCCTTGGTTCTGAGTTCACCTCCGAAGACTTGATCGTCAGTGTCTTGAAGTTCACTCGGCTAATTTTGGAAAACTGTGGCAACAGGCAGGTCTACAATTCCTATGAGGTAAGAATTGCTTGATTCCATCTGATCTCGAACTCATACATTATGGCAGCATCTTAAGCGCTTGATTGAACATAGAAATTGTGACATCATTATGGGGGTGTTGAAAGTTCTTTCAGTCCTCGCGACACCCCGTTCGACAAGACAGATAGTGAGCGAGAGCGAGTTTATGACCAAACTCAGCTCGTTGGCATCTTCGTCGTTCTGTTCGCAGGATAACTCCCTAACAATACTTCAAGCCATTTCCAACTCCTCACCTCAGGTTCGCTTCCTTCTGAACTTTTTCAAACTTCAATCCTCTCCTTGACATATTTCCATCACCAATTGTGAATGACTTGGAACATAGGGCACTTTTTTGAAAATGAGCTTTTACCGCATGCAAAGCGACCTCAATGAAAATGATGGTAAGAGCTAATTCCAAATGCTTTTTTGAAGGTTTGATCCTTCTGCAGACGAAGGTCCTATTTCGATCCTTATGGATATCAAAGATCAATCTGCTTCGGATGAGGACATATTTCAGAAGATCATGTCGGAATACAAAGTGCCAGATGACAGTCACTTTGCGTTGAAAACTAGAATTAGGATGGCGCAAGCTTTCACGTCTTTTGAACAGCGATTGCAGTGGATTCGTGTTCAAATCATGGCAACTACGGTGTTCGCACAGTGCCAATCTGTCTATAATATGTCGGCAATGACCAATATCGGAAGCGAGTCCCGTCTCAGTGAATTGATTGAAGTTCTTCAACAGCCAGATAACGACCTGCTTCCACTGGATATTGAAACACTATCTTTGAAAGCGTTGACGGCGTTGTTGTCTGAGAGGTCAAAGCAGTCGAGCTCTGTTCTAGCGTCTACAGCTGCGTCCCATGCTGTTATACTCTCCTCCATGATACGCAGGGTGCGTCAATCATGATCTCTCCGCTGTTGAAATATTCTGAACTTTGATTGATTAATACAGGCCAAAAACTTGATTTTGGAAGGCAACACCAGTCCAACCAAGGCTAACGTTACAAATCTTGAACGCCTGAAATTTGGGGAAGCACTGCTTGCGTTCACTTGGATGTTCTCTGGAAGCAATAATGGCAACAATGCATTGAATTCAGCTGGTATCATGCACTTAATCTTGCCCATGTTGCAGGACCACGCTTCGAGGTACGTGTGATTGATATTACTTTTTGAGATGATCTGAGCATTAATCCTTTGTCTAGGCGGGGAAGATTCATTACTCTGGCTGTAAAGACAGTAGAGGTCATGATGAATTACAGTAATGAGATGCAGCAGAGCTTCAAAGAAATGAATGGTTTGAGCATCTTGGTTGACAGAGCAGATGCTGAAGTGAAGGCCTTGCTTGATCTCGCTTCTTGTAATGACACAGAAATGGTCGACGCGAAGGGCGATGCCGCGGGAGAAGAAAGTGTCAAAACTGTGGAAGGCGACGACAACTCAGCATGCTTTGTACCCTTCATCCCACATCGTGCAAGATTGGAGGAAAACTTTGAAAGATGTCGCCTTCTGGGTGCTATTTTACATCTGCTTTCTTCAGCAGCATCTCCCGTTGCAAGCTCAAGTGATGTGAGGGAGTTTATGTCAGGGGAGAAAGTGCCGAAAATCCTCTGCACGATTTTCGAGAGGAATGAGATATTTGGGGCATCTGTGTTTGAGAAAGCTGCTGGGCTTCTGACAGAGTTCGTACACCAAGTATTTCTTTCGCTTTTATATAGTATGCTCGTTCTGAACTTTTTTGTTTGTCAGGAACCAAGCTGCCTCCAATTGGTGATCTCCAACGGTATTGCCAAGGCTGCGTTGAAGGCGGTTTCGGAAGGTTTTCCCATTTCCCGAGGATCTGTATCAGTCATTCCTACCATGATGGGGGCGCTGTGTCTATCAAGCTCTGGAAGTCAATTGCTTGAACAAATGCAACCTATTGGAAAATTCATGGATTCGATCTGCTCGGAGCGAACCATTCCAGTTTTACAAGGAGAGACACCGTGCCATCTTGGAAATCAACTGGAAGAATTGATGCGGCACAATCCTTCCTTGTTGGACGCTTGTATGAAAGGATGTGTAAATATGGCCAACAAAATTCCCATAATCATGGGCAGAATTGCGAACGAGCATGCAATGCAGGATGGTAGTCACTGGACCACACGAGAAGGAAGGGCGAGCAACAACCTCACAGCAGAAGCGTACCTTTTGTGTTCTCTTGAGTTCTTGGGCAAGCTCTTGGACCCCTTAATGTCAGCTTCTGAGCATGCGAGGTCTTTTGTTCGAAACAAAGGCATAGATGCTGTGCTCAAACTGATATCATCACGAGAAATCCCACAGGATTTCTCCAAGTCAGAAGCAGGAAAGTACATAATCTTAGTAATTGGAAAGACTGCCTTTCATTCTTCAGGGAGTGTACTTGAAGAAGTCATTCGCCGCACTCAAAGCCTCCTCGATACCATTTTGAGCAGGATTCCGTTGCCAGGTGTGATGATGGAACCGGTGTTGTCGGATTCACGTCCAGACTCAGACCTTTTAAGCTTGGAAATCCATGTGAATCTTTTATCCGGTATTTTTGGTTGTTTGCGCGGAAGTTCTACAGCGGCAGAACTTGATAACGAACGGGGTATCAAACTCATTCGAGATATCGCGGAGTGCTATGTTCGCTTGAGCTGTCAGCCAAACACCAACACAGTGGAATCTGATAAAGGTGAAGCACAGACCATGGA